ATTTTGAAGCTTTGTTTTTAAGTTTTATTAGACAATCCAGAGCACAGTATTCTTTCATTTAAAGCAAATTTCATCTGCTACGGAAGTACTATTCCAAGTATTCTAACAATGCCTCTTGTATTACAAGATATTTCCACTCTGATGTGTTAACATGGTCTGTTCCAAGCCCTGTTTGAGTTCCAGGAACTATTCATCCTGTTCCTTTCTGAGATTCGTTCCCAATTCTCACGAAATTTTTCACATTTATTTTTTTTTCTTTAAAATGTACCAGACGGACTAGGACAAAGTTTTGGAGACCTCCAGAATTCTATGTGCTATTCTCTCTTGATATTGGAATTTTCTCGTCTTTAGTTTTTTGAGTTAATCTTATTGGAAATGCAGAAAGAGAGAGAGAGCACTTCCATCCACTGGTTCAACTCCTCAAATGGCTGCTGTAGCCATGGCTGGACCATGCTGAAGCCGTGAGTCAAGTACTCCATCCAGGTATACCATGTGGGTGGCAATGACTCAAGTTCTTTAGTATCAGCTGCCACAGGAGCAGGGAGCTGGATCAGAAACAGAGTACCTGGGACTCGAACCAGCACTGTAATATGGGATGTGGGCATCCTCAGCAATAACTTAACCCACTGTGTCACAACATCTACCTACTCTGTTAATTCTATCCTCTTGCCTCTGCTAATATCAACTATACCTCCTCAACTCAAGGGAATTTCCTACTTGTTTTGAGGCCCCAACCTTCTTTCCTGATATTTTAAAAATGCATTCCTGATAACAAGCACAAACAATCATACAGCTCCTTTCCATTCTGCAATATCTGAAAAATGTTGCATCATGTATTTGGTCATTCTTTTAGCTGTTAAAAGCAGGAGGATAAAGCCATTCTCTGATATGTGATCAGGACCACAAGAAAAGTTTGAAAGTAAAAGTCTTTAAAAGTCCTCACCATAGCCTAAAAATATTGTGTCATCTCACATTATTTGCTTTTATGATCTCAGGTCCACCAAATTTATTCAGTAATTATTCAGTAATTCAATAATCATTTGTTAAATCAAGTAGAGTTACATATTAGCATCTATCTACAAGTCATTTTCATATGAAGATACTTTTAAAAGTTTGTTCTAACATAATTAAAAGATAAATTTGTTTTGGCACAAAAATGTTTTGAAATCATGCATATGAATGTCTTCCAAAAGTTTGTGGAAAATTCTTATTTAGAAAAATATATGCATGGATTTCACAAAAAAAATTTGTACTGATGAAAACTTATCTTTTAATTCCACTTAAGAAAATCTTTTTGAAGCACTTTCTATATTCTTTTTATGAGATATAAAAAATTGTCACACAATATAAGAGATTGTGTTTGAGACTTGTGGCATATCGTCACAGCTGTCTTCAGATTTCAACATGATCTTAAAGAATTTATTATGCATTCCCTATGAGCATGTTAGGAAACATGATTCTTAGCCAAGTAGAAAGTGAAGAAACACAAAAACATGGAAATGCATAGTATATCCAGGAAAGAGTAAAACTGAAACAAAAAGAATAGGAAGTAATGGTGCCAAAATATCTATGTGAAATTTTTAAAAACAGCAGAGAGGGAAACAAAATTTATCTTGGATCAAATATTAGTTGATGGCACAGGTGAGCCTACACACAAAATATAGATAACCATTATGTATCATAACCTTTCATTTCCTGTTATCATGTTCTAAATCAAACTATGTTAAAGTACTCCTTGGAATTTGTATTAAAGAAATTCAGAAACAAAATTTCTAATCATCACGACTTCTTAGAATTCAGATGATTTTTCAGGTATCTTAAACCACAGAATTACCATATCATGGAGGAGCAAGGTTTAAATAGCCTTAGAATAATTCCCTGCAGATCATCGGCTGCCTTGTCCTCTGGTCTTCCATTTGGAAAACAAGGTAATACTTCATATGCTCTTTCTCTTATATCATGTGCGTGTGAAAAAAATATTTCAAAACCTGTTAGTACTCTTTTGCACAAAAAAAATCAAAAAATATTAAAGGTGCCAAACTGAAATATAAATTTCTTGAGAGACTTTTATTAATTATTGTAAAATTGTGATTCATCTGCTTTCAATTTTTGAGCGTAACTGATATTTAATTACTGATATTTTAGTATCATACTGTCTCATGAACTGCTGAAGTTTTATCTTGAAACCAGGACCAAGAAAATCAGGTTTCTAGACATCTAGCAACTGCTTTTTTGTGTGTGCGGGTGCTGGCCTTCTTTCTTCCTCTGGAAATTGGAGATAAAAATTCTTACAAAATTACATTATGTAGCAATTGTGAAGATTACAGAAAATATTATAAAATGTCTCCCAAAGCGTTTGTCACACAGCAGTGCTTAATAACTACAATTATTTTTAGCTACCTCTACCATCATATTAAACATACATCTTATTAAAAACTATCATTTGCCCACTGATTTAGCTTCTTTTATCTATGTGCATTTCTAACTCTAAGCAGAAGGTACTGGAAAACAGTTACATAGAATATATTTAATTCAGATAATTAATTAACATCTTACAATTTAAACAAAACATCTTCTATGTGAAATATACTCTGTACACATTATAGGCAACAAATATTATTTTCATCTTAAGATTATAAATTAATATATTATTAACCACCATTATTTATTTCATGAGTGATATATCTTATATGCTAGAATTCAGAAAATATTATTAAAATTTATACAAAACAAATATTAAGATAGGTAATGAATGTGTATATACACCGTAATTACAAAGTGGGGATCACAATGCATTTTGCTATTGTTTGGGTAAAAAGTTAAAAATAGCCTTTAAAAACAAATTTTAAAAACAAATTTTGAATATGTTCAAGAAAAGAAGTGCAATATATCAACAACGTGTGAGTATAATTCATTTATATTTTTACTCAGTTATTTAGCCATGGCGATGGGGAAGGAGGAGTTGATTTACAAGAAAATATTGTGGATTTGTTTATAGCTATAGAGTTAAAGGTATATCTCCCTGGAAGGGATTTTAGAGATATGTAAAGTCACATTTGTTAGATAAGTTAATTGAGAGGAAGTTTTCAGTGGTTTTGCTTAAGCTTCATCCACCAAATCAGCATGAAGCTAGGCAGAGCAGGACCCCTGATTTTACCCTGGTGTTATTTGTAACGATTTTTTATTTATTTATTTGACAGGTAGAGTTATAGACAATGAAAAAGAGAGAGAGAAAGAGAAAGGTCTTCCATCCGATGGTTCACCCCCCAAATGGCCACAACGGCCAGAGCTATGCCGATCAGAAACCAGGAGCCAGGTGCCTCTTCCTGGTCTACCATGTGGGTGCAGGGGCCCAAGCACTTGGGCCATCCTCCACTGTCTACCCAGGCCACAGCAGAGAGCTAAACTGGAAGAGGAGCAACCGGGACAGAATCTGGTGCCCATATTTGATGCCAGTGCCACAGGTGGAGGATTAACCTAGTGCACCACCATGCCAGCCCCCTACCTGGTGTTATTTCTATGTTCCAATTCTCTCTGAGGGAGCAAGACTGCACATCCCCCTCCCCAATTATATATATTTAAATGGCTACAATGTCATAATTTGATACATGTATTCAATGAGTGATGATCAAATCAGGTTAGCGTACAAGTTTTCATTTACCTGAATTCTAATTTCTGATTTTTTTTAACTTTTATTTAATGAATATAAATTTCCAAAATACAGCTTATTGATTACAATGGCTTCCCCCACATAACGTCCCTCCCACCTGCAACCCTCCCCTTTCCCACTCCCTCTCCCCTTCCATTCACATCAAGATTCATTTTCGATTCTCTTTATATACAGAAGATCAGTTTAGCATACATTAAGTAAAGGTTTCAACAGTTTTCTCCCACACAGAAACATAAAGTGAAAAATACTGTTTGAGTACTAGTTATGGCATTAAATCTCAATGTACAGCACACTAAGGACAGATCTCACATGAGAAGTAAGTACACCTGAGCTGCCAAGGCTATGGAAGCCCCCTGAGTTCACCGACTCTGATCATTTTTAGACAAGGCCATGGTCAAAGTGGAAGTTCTCTCCTCCCTTCAGAGAAAGGTACCTCCTTCTTTGATGACCCGTTCTTTCCACTGGGATCTCACTCACGGAGATCCTTCAATCTTTCATTTAGGTTTTTTTTTTTTCCCCAGAGTGTCTTGGCTTTCCAAGCCTGTAATACTCTCATGGGCTTTTCAGCCGGATCCGCATGCCTTAAGGGCTGATTCTGAGGCCAGAGTGCTGTTTAGGACATCTGCCATTCTATGGGTCTGCTGTGTATCTCACTTCCCATGTTGGATCGTTCTCCCCCTTTTTTACTCTATCAGCTAGTATTTGCAGACACTAGTCTTGTTTATGTGCTCCCCTTGGTTCTTAGTCCTATCATAATGATCAATTGTGAACAGAAATTGATCACTGGGACTAGTGAGATGGCATTGGTACATGCCACCTTGATGGGATTGAATTGGAATCCCCTGGTATGTTTCTAACTCTACCGTTTGAGGTAAGTCAGCTTGAGCATGTCCCGAATTATACATCTCTTCCCTCTCTTATTCCCACTCATATTTAACAGCGATCACTTTTCAGTTAAGTTTCTAATTTCTGATTTTAAAAGGAGTTCCTGTTATATTTTGCTTCTTCTATATCATTCTACACAAAATACTTGTCAGTGGAAACTAAGCAAAAGAGCTGACTAAATCTGAATGAACCTTCCACATTTTAGCAACCAAAGCTGTAAATTATATCCTGTTCAGGGGAAAAACATGTCTCTTTCAGAATAAACTGTGCCTTCATGTTCATGTTCATGAACTTGCCAAAAGTATCTGCTTCCATTAATTTCCTTTGCCATTTCCTCATCATCTGGGAAAAGTATAATAATAGATAAGCACATGGAAAACGTATAATTTTTGGAACATAAATCTAATCTTCACTTTCTATACATGTGTTTATTACAGAACTAAATAGCCATGAGGTTCTTCGTCTTCACCTGCCTTTTGGCTGTTGCTCTGGCCAAGAATGTAAGCATAACGGGACACACCATGGTATCAATCCCTGTTTAAATCTATAAGAAGAGTAGCCTTTTACTCTGTGCAGGAGGTTGCAGGCACTGGCAGCAGTGCTTTTTCATCTGTGATCAATGTCGGCTGTGACTACTTACATAGCATTTGGAATTGAGCAATGTTTCTAAAGGGTCTTCACTGAACTGTTGAGAAGCCATAGACACAGGAGAAAGGATGTGAATTTTCCTTCCAGATAAATTGGCATAAACTTTGGAATTTGCTGAAAGAGCTATTTCCCCTTCCAAGCATGTCTCTGAAAGTATAAGAAAGCTCTGCTCCTATAACAGGAATTCCAAAGCCAGGGTCAATGAAATAGCAGAATTTTAACATTCTTGAGAAAAAGCAGCTCAGAAATGACAACAGCAACAACAAAAACCAGAAAACAAGGAGAGATGACTTTGTAAATTATTAACCAAATAACCTAGTGAGGATTTAGTAATAATATTTATGTCGCAAAATTGTGAGTATGTAATAGATAATAATAGGGAAAGTGCCTCAGAAACCATGTATATATTTACACAGACACACAAAAGCAGCATCTATAATTTTAATATTTCAGTAGTATTACCTCCCTCATTCCCAGGAGGAATTCACATACCACCACCCTCCCACCCCAACATCTCACTCTACCCATAAAGCCCCCTTTCACCTAGAGTGCTCAGAAGCCTATGCTGTAACACACATACTTGTGTGTAAGAAGGGACAGGCATTGGTGACTTCTTAGATTTGTACCCAATTTAAGAAAATGCCATTTCTAACACAAGCAAGTTAGTTTGAAAAGAAAATCAAAGCACCGTGCTTTAGTAATATCACACAGCCTCAATGATCTCTTCCTCTTTCACTCTTCTCCTGGGTATCTCCCTATCTTTTTATTGAGTAGTTGACCTCAACAGTTTCTTTGAAGACAACTGATTATACAGCTGAAAATAGAGAGGCATCATTAGCAAATAAACTAAGATACCCACATGTACTTGTGCCACAGTTTTCCAGTGAGAGCAATGTATTCATTGATTGTATTTGAAACTGAGGTAATTGTTAAAGGAAACTCTATTCCACTAAATTTTTCCAAGAAACTGTTTTTTTGTTTGTTTTTTGTTTGTTTGTTTTTTAATTTTGAGTGTTGTCATTAAGCAGTAGATACAGAGATTCACGTTGGGATTTTAAGTAACTCATAAAAGTTAAATTTGTGTTGTTTGTTTGTTTGTTTGTTTGTTTGATACAGGGGATAAAGCAGCGCTCTGCCAGTGAGGTAAGGCACTCTATTCTGTAAATAGTTCCTCGTACCTAATAGCATATATGTACTATGTTAGTCTATTTGTATGATCAGTACCACCAGCACTGCAGAATCATGGAAAATTTGAAATGCAATATTTGTTTAAAATATTTTTGGAAAATAAACTAGAATATATGTCACAAGATTAGATTTGTGCTTTTTTCCACTTGCTTCTCCAATATCATGCAATAATTGTGATATTGGTACCCTGTATCTTGTGATGTAAACTGAGGAACCAGTGACGAACATCTAGTTTGTCAGGGACTCATGCCTATCAGCATCTATATTGGGTGCCAATTTACAAATGTTTTCTTGCTCAAAGTTCCTCAAATGTCACCAACAGAATTGTTCTCCTCTCCTGATATCTACTTGATATAAAAATCAAATAGAGTAAAAAAGAAAGGAAACTGCCAAGGACAAATAAAATTGCTCCTTCCCCCTTTCATATTAATGTGCAAAGATCTAACTGGGTTGTCAAATAAGTAAATTGAGAGTCCAGAATAAATTATTTGACTAGAATATAATGAATGACTTACCTATAAAAAGTAGAAATTTTGGTCTAATTTACTTTTTAATTGAACCAAAGGTTAATTTTATCTTGAAATATTGTATAATAAATATTGATTGATATTTCTCTGCATAGTGAGATAGTCATGAATATATAATAAAAACATGTATTCATTTTTTCCTAAGGAGATTGTCAGCTTCTATCAAGAAGTAAGTCATAATTTATTTTATTACCTACATTATAAAATCATTTGTCAGTTTTCATGGCCATAATTTACTTCTTATTTTCTTCAGAAATATAAGCAGGATAGTAATGCAGCCATTTACCCAACAAATCAGGTAAAATGCACTTATTAATATCTTTGAGTCTGATTAATGATGTGTCTTATCCATCAATTATGTTATTTTCCCATTTGAAAATATGAGTATTTTTTCCATTTCCAAATGCAAAATGTTTTCAGTCTTCATTGCTTTGAAATTATGTTGAAAAGATTCCATGAAAACATATGTGCTCCACTTAGAAATCACATTTTCAAAAGTCATTTCTCTTCATGTTCTCAACTGTGGACTTTTTAGATCACTGTTCTATCATTTCTAAGGGTTATTTTATGCCTAAAAACCTTGAGTAGGAATTATGGAGTGTTACAAGTCACTCTTAAATCAAGACTTTAATTTACTCTGATTTTGTTCTGAAGTTGAAATTAGCCTAGATGAAAAGTTTGTTAATTGTCCAAAATATTTGATAAACAGAATAAAAGCAGGCGCTTTTCCCAATTCAATGAATAATCCAATTGAAGGTATTAATCTGTAAATGAACAAATTAACCTGCTAAATACTTCTCCAGTTAGTTCCTACAAGTAAAGACCTAGTCATTTTATGAATGTGGTTACTCTAGTATTTAATATTTCTGTCAAAATTCCCTCTTTTAAATTGAAATGTTTTATAGAAACTTTATGTAATCTTAATGATAGGCTTGATGGTCTATTATAAATGCTTCAATATACATTAAAATACCTGCATAGTTATAATCTATATTTTAAGAGAGAATGAGAGAGAAAGAGATTGAGAGAGAGGGAGAATCTTCCTTCTGTCCACTTGTTCATTCCCCAAATGGCCATAATGACCAGGGCTTGGCAAGGCTGAAGCCAGGGGCCAGGAGCTTTTTCCAGGACTCCTACGTGGGTGGCAGGGGCTGAAGCTCTGGGGCCACCCTCTCCTACTTTTCCCAGGTGTATTAACAGGGAGCTGGATTGGAAGTTGAGCAGCCAGGACTTAAACTGCAGCACATATGGGATGCAGGCACTGCAGAGGGCAGCTTAACCTTATTTGCCACAGCACCAGCCCCTAGTTATTATATTATATTTTTAAAGAATAATTATCCAGGTACAGCCTTAATTACCTATTATCTGGTCCATCATTCATTTAAGACACATTCAATAACAAATAACAATGCGTCAGACAATATTCCATGCTCTGGAATGCAACAGTGAATACACTTGACAAAATGCCTCATTAAGGAGCCTTACGTGTCAGTTTATCACTGGGAAATTTTAATATACTTCTTACAAACACACACAATGAAAATGAATTCATTCTCAGTAAGAAGTTTTTTCTACATTCAACACAGCATACAAATAATGCTGTAGGGATAATATATCCAATTCCTTTTATTGGGAAACCCCAAATAAAATATAAGATGGTGAGATCTTTTTAGTCATCTGAACTAAACTTAGCTGACACTATTTATAAATAATACTAATTGTTAGTAGATTCCTATGGGACATCTACTATCTCTTAGTTAATCAGAAAATGTTTTTGTAATATGATAATCTTCAAATGTTAATTCCATACTTCTTGCATTATTAAGTTCCTCTATTGTCATAATAGAGATACCAACATTTAAATAAAATAATGTTTATCCCTTTTATTTGACTGCCAAAGTGGTTAATAATAAGTACCTATGCAACCTGATTTTACTGCATTTATTTTAATCCTTCTTTTGATGTTTTATACAAATGATAAAGTAAGTAATACTGAAATAATTCCCTAAAGCAACTGGTGATGTTTAAAGAATAATGTTGCATATTTGATTTCTTCTTGTCAATAAATTATGATTTTATTTTATTTTTATTTCTCAAGGAAACTCCTAGTGTTTCATCTAGTGAGGTAAGATATTATTTCCTTTCAAGTCAAAGAACTATTGTATTCAAAAAATATCATCCTCGCTATAATGTTATACAATAGTTAGACAGTTCCTAGCAAACACACTTCTAAACTTTCAAGAGGAAAACCATAACCATGATTCAAAATAATTTTGGTATAACTGAAATTGAGTATAATCATAAGAGGGCATTATTTAAGGTCCTTTGCTCTCTATGAAAATACAGATGTGACTCTACAGAAACTGAATTTGACATTGAAATTTGTGCCAAATCCAGAGGTTACCAATTGACTTCGCTGTTTTAGAAACCCCTTTAACACTGCTTAGAGGAGTAGTTCTCAAATGGCTGTCCCCTAGATAAGTAGTATCAGCAACATCTGTAAGATTGCTAGAAATGGTAGATCAACTTCATGTGAAACTCTGGGCTGGAGCTAAGCAAACTGTATTTTAGCAAGGTCTCTCAATGACATTGATGCACATCAAACTTTGAGAAACACTTTTAATAAGGACAAACAAGGGATTGGTTTAGGAAATATGTAGGTAACAAATACCTGGAAGAGCCAGGATGTGAGGCTGTCTTAATAGAGTGGGCAGTAGCAACGTAGATCGTGGCCCAAAATCCTGTGGCCAGGGCTATTACCTAAATTCTTCATAGGCCCTGCATTAGGTGTTTGCTTTGCCTGTCTCTGTCTCTTTGCCTGTCAATCTCAGTCTTAAACTAAGAGCCTTGGGGCATGTCCAAGGCCAGAATGTGAGGGCGTCATGATGGAGCAGCAACACTGATACGGATCATGACCCAGGATCCTGTGGCCAGTGGTGTCACCTAAATTCTTCACTGTCCTTGCCTTAGGGGTTTGCTTCTCTTTCTCTGAGAGTAAGTCTGTCTCGAACTGAGAGCCTTGGGATACTCTATCATTTCAACAAGGAACATGCAAGGTTTAGTTCGTCACATATTTAGTGGGTCCATATTGATTATTTTTGGTTATTTGCCTATATTCTACAAATATATAAAATTGTCTGAGTAATGTAGAATTGACAAAACATTCAAGATAAAACATGTTTAGCCATTCTATTATGCTGGAAGAGAAAGAAGGAGAGATCTTACAAATATCTTAAGATTTAATCCTTAATAAATGACAGTACTAGTGGGTTGAACTCTGGATATTTCATTAATTTCCCCTAACCATATACTAAAATTATTTAGACACTAAACCATTCAACTAAAACTATTTCTCATCTTGTTTCTTTAGGAATCTGTCGAAGTACAAACTGAAGTAAGTAATTATTCAATAAAATTATACCATTAGTTTCATTTTCATTTGAAATTTCTCTAACACATGCTTTGGTTTTCAACAGAAAGATGAGCAGATTGAGGAAGAAAATGTCTATCTAAAACAGTTGGTAAGTTTTAATACAACTTATTTGAAATGATAGAATAAAATTTTAGAATTCTCCCTTCTTCCAAATAATCACTTCTCATATCTTCTCAGGACAGTCTTCATATTTAGCATCAAATTGATGATCATATTTAGTTTTCCTAGTGTTGTTAGTGGGATACATAAAGATTATCTTGACAAGTAGTTCTAGAGTTAACTCTTAAGAAAAATGAGCAATATAAGTAAATTTGGAAGACTTACAAACCTCAGAAAAATATTTTGGTATTTAAGTGGTATACTTGAGATATCACTGTATTGTTACATAATTACATAGTTGATCTATCTGCTTCTATTTGATATGATAAAAAGGATTGATAAATTAAGGCCAAAAACTGTTAATTCTAGTCATTCTAAAGCACAGATGGTTATGTAACACTTCTTTGGTGGGCTAGAGCAAAGTGCAGAGCAAGGAAAATAGGTGGGCTTGAAGTCAGTGGCCTTTGCTTTCAACATCAGCTCCCCAAAGTATTACTCAACTTCTCCAAGCTGTATTTTCCGCAGCTGAAAATGAGGTTCCTTTCTGACACAGCCTTGCCTATTATACTCAATAGAAAGGTTTGCTTCATTGAGAATTCTAATTCATCAAATAATTTCTTTTGGAGGTAGGCGTTGAGCTCTTAAGACATACTTGGTATGCGCCCCATGCAGGTATCAGAGTTCCTTGGGTTCAAGGAACCCAAGTTCTGATTTCAGCTTTCTCCTAATGTACAACCCGGGAAGCGCAGGTGATGGTTCAAATACTGCCGTCCATGTGAGAGACCTGTATGGAGTTCTGTCTTCTGGCTTCTTGTCTAGCTACAGCTATCATTTGGGGAATGAACAAGCACCTGACAGTACTCTCTCTCTCTCCTTGTATCTTTCTCTCTGTCTCCATCCCACCCTCTCTTTCAAATAAACAAGATTTAAAAAAAAAAATAACATTTAATTCTGAAATTTACTTTAGAAAAGCACACACTGCTACAGTCTTTTGATCAATCTGACATAATTTTAATCACTTAATTTTGTCCAATTATGCTTGGATCCATGGAGAAAATTTAATACTTATATAATAATGATACTTTTTTTCCTCTCAGAAAAGAATCAAGCAAATTTTTCAGAAATTTTACATTCCACAATATCCTGAAGTTTATCAACAGCAGATTGTTATGAACCCATGGAAACACGTTAAAACAACTACTTACCCTGTTCCCATCCCGGTGAGTTCTTCCTTTCTGTTGTTTTTGTTTTTTGGAAATAAAAAAGTTAATAAAATCAACCAGACAGAAACTATCCTGATCATTTTGAATGTATAAAGTAAAACAGGTTTAAATAAAATTAGAACAGACATCAAACTATATAGCCAAAATGCTATTGGAAAAACTTAGTAATTATAAATAAAATTAAGTTGAACTTAAATCCCAATTTCTCACTTGTATGTCATTTCTCTTCATTCTGACAGAAAGTCTTAAAGGTAGGTAGGATGGAAAAAACCTACATTTTTCAAAAGGAATTTAATTTCAACAAATTAAATCCCTTACCAATGTTTTCCTTCATATCATATCTCCTCTTTTAAGACATTTTGCTTAGGGAACATTTTTGAACACAAAGACTAAGTGACAGAGCAGCAAGTTGAACATGAAAACCAATTACTTATTTATAAACACAGTGAGCTTTGGAGTCAGAATCTGGGGATTGATGCCAGATCTAACAAAAGCAGACTACGTGACTACGTAACCTTGGACATGTAACCTCCCTTTTCTGTGATTTTCGCTTCTTAGAAGTGGATGGTTCTCCCAGGTGACTCTTAGAAATTAAAAATACCATCAGCATAGTTAGAGAAAATAAGATTTAACGCTGTTGGTTTGAATACTAAATGCATAAGGAGCATCTTGAAAATCAAAATCTATTTTATGTGAAATTGAAATCTAAAGTTGCATTATGTTCAGAAATAGCAGAGTTGGAAAGTAAATCGGTAGATGAACTAGTGGCTCTCAGCTATTCACAAGCAACCAAGTAAACCGGTAACCTTGTCATAAACAGAATGAGAAAAGCAGTGAACTCTCTTTTTATGAATTGTATTTACTGCAGTATAAGAGATTATAGGAGGGAAGTATACATTTTATTCCATTTAAGTTTGAATTTGCTGGAAATAACGTTTCCGTGAAGAGCAACTTCTGCAGTAGTCTGAACAAAGTCTGCAGCTCCAATTATAGATTCCAAAGTCTGTCTTCAAACCAGTCTAAAATTTACCATTCTTGACAATAGTAATTTGTAATATCTTATAATTAAATATGAACCAAGAATGCATAACAGAGGTGAAACTAGTAAGCAAAAGTCTGGATTGTGTGGTAACTAAACAAGCTACTTGCAAAAACAAGCCCTTAACATCTGAGTGACAGTTTCTGCTATATGAGCATCTAGTTATAATATTATCACAAAATAATTAGAACATAAGTAGGTAAGATGTGGCAATGTGCAGGTGTGTCTTTTGGGGAAGAGGAGCAAAACAAAGAAGCTATGTAAAGTGTTACGTCAATATCACAAGGAAAAAGGAAGAAATGCATTCCCGTGATCGGTTTTACAGATGGAACGATAGTTTCTTCTCTAGATTCTACCAGACTTAATCACCTTCTTCTTTGTTTTGCTTTATAGATGGCATCAATCATTTCATTTAATAAAATATTTTTGCTCAATTAAAAGTCAATTTCAGTGACTAGCAGGTGGCTTATATACTAGTAATTTGTCAAACTTGGATTTTAAGTCATTAGTATTAAAGAAATTGCTTTAATGGTTCAAAACTTCTCTTTGCTAAAAAACACCTGCTCAGTATTATTCTTATAAAATTTTTCTAAACTAAAACATTTCCTTGCCTTTAGAAGCATATAATTATATGTGTTTAAATTTTAGTAATCTTCAGCACATTTTTATAACTTTCAGCACATTTTCACATTTAGAATTCTGCATTTTAAAATGTGGCAACTTTAATATCTACAATCCAACACCTGAGCAAACTCTTTAGTATAATAAATATATTCAGTTAGTTAGAATAATCATTTCTTTTATGTACACAATCATACATATATGTATTAAAATTGCAGGAAACCACAAGATTTTTCTCAGAAAGTACAATTCAATCAAATTCTCTTCAGGAAAGGACAAATATTGATCTTTTTACTGGGACACAAAATGGAAACTTTAATTGAATTTCTATTTAGGAAAATAGTACCACTTGTCCAGTGATGTAATGCATTATTTAAGGTCCCTTGCTCTCTATGAAAATACAGATGTGACTCTACAGAAACTGAAAATCTTGGTATTCAATACCAGTTATTAAATACTATACAACACTGTCTGTATTCTAAATTTTTAGTTTTTAATACATAAAGTTAGGGTTGCAGAATTAGAGAAAGCTAAAATAGAAAGTGCAGAAATTATTAGAATCATTTATGGGAAAAATCACAATTATAACATTTGAAGTTAGCAATATTAGATATCTGTACAAGCAAATCCTAGCAAAAACATTTAATATTAGTTACTCCAGAGTTTATGGATGCACTGTTAACTGCCAAATATTGTATTACCAATGTTACAAAATATAAGCCTTAAGATACCCTCGATATCACCTAAGATACCCTGAATATCACCTAACCGCTGCCTATTTTTGATCCTTCCTACTTATAAAAAACAGAAATATCATAGTAGAAAGTAACATTTGTATAAATATGTAATTTAAATGGATTATTTGTCTCTTTTTCTAAGGAAACTACCAGGATCCCCCTAGAGGTAAGTAAATAATTACAAAATGCAAATAAAATTATGAAAGCTTTTTGTTTCATCTTGGTTATAAAATCATTGTTATTCCATTAGCATGGAATATATGCATGACTCAAATGATGAGTTAAATTTATAATTTTTCTGATGGAGATCTTATAATTTAGTGATTTCCATTTTTATAAATTCCTACAATTTTTAATTTATTGTTATTACAGTTGAATATGTAAGCAAGTATTTACCAACTTTTTATCTGAATTTTTCCAATATAAATTTTGCATAAAGCTTATAAAAACACAGACATGAATAAATATATTCATACAGACCCTTCTATTTAAACTAAGTGTAGTAAATGCTGCATTGTTTTAAATGCTTCTTGATATACTAACTAAATCAAACTTGAGAGTTTATTATGATTCTATGTCTTAGTAATAAAAACAAGTGAATAAAATAAGTGAAATCAAGCTCCATCTGGAGATTACATTCTACAGAAATAATGATTTTGTGTTTCCACTATTTGGGGAACTGAGGTACAATATAAACATTGGAAATAATCTTATTCTTCTTCTCTTGATGGAAGACAAATTTCTCTTGCTACCAAGAGTGAATTCTGGGGAGCCAATAAATTGAGAACAATGTGTTAAATTCTTGTTATTTTCTTTCTTTAAGGAGATTGTTAAGAAAATTGTTGAGATGGTAAGGATTTTATTTATATACAGCTCTATTTCATTTACACTATTAATAGGAAGAAGAGGCATGATGGGAAATGTCCATTTTTAGTAAGCTAGAAAAGAATCATTTTAGTTTCATAAAAGTGCAATTTTGGCCCCTCAATTATATTTCCCTTAATTCTTCACTCTATCAATTAATACACTTCCATTTATACCTAATTATAACAATTTATATATTTTCTGTATTTTACATTGCTCTCTAAGAGGAGATTTCTTTTGATTTTTGAAGAAAATAATTCTCTTTGCTGGCTTTACTTTTGCCTTCCATAGTGATACTAATGTTTGTAACATGAAAGATCCATCATCCTACGGCTGGCTTTTTAATTCTGAAAATTTCTATTTGCATTTCTCTAGAAATGTGTCTAGTGAAGTGAAGCACGCCTCCTTTTACAGAGAATGAAACAACCAATCCATACAGAGAGAGCATGGTTTTCTGCTTTTTTTTAGCAAATAAATAACTGCCAATTATTAATGAAGTCACATTAAAATATACAACAGAATAACAAAAAAGTGTTTAATAATAAGCATTAATATGCTTACTATACAAGCATTCTACCATTTTATCATTGGCATATCACAGCCATGAATGCGCTTAACAATCATTCCCTGGCAGTTGAAAAAAATAACTTTCCATTCTTAGAATCTGAAAATTATGCTGTGAGGAGTTGCCCACTTTAATCCTATCTTTATGTCTTACAAAGAGCTTTATTTAGCAGACTTTCAATTGTCTAAATAAGTTTTAACTGATTTATTTCTGTAAAGTTCTCTTTTGAACACTGGGAGAGACTAAATGTGGAATGATTATTAATAATTTTATGTCTTTTTAGATCAAATTCAACCAGCTTCACCAGTTTGTCATCCCCCAGTATGTCCAGGCTCTTCAGCAGCGGATAGCTATGAACCCTTGGCATCACGTAACCCCCTTCCGCTCTTTTCCCGTTTTGGTATGTTTGCTCTGTTTTAAATAATGTAATTAGAGTTATTTTGTGTGAAAAATGGGATATAAAGAAAATAATCTCAAATTTTGGATTAGAGATTAAATCAAACTTCAATGAAAATGTCGACACCAGTAATAAAAAACAAATCCATGTTTCCAACACAACATTATGCAATCATATCAAAAGTGATAAAGAATTACATTCATATAGAATTTTAATTTTCTAAACATTTATGTGTATATCTACCTATACAGATAGATATGAATTTCTTTTGATTCCTTTAGTAAGTCAATGAATTGGATAGATTGTGATGATTTTATTTAATAACAGAATCTGAAATGTGAAGTAGAATAAGTTTCTCAAAATATACTTCATAGTTCATCTGTTTAATAAAAGTTTTTTGACTTACAATGCTTTTTTCCCAGCATGAGGAATAAATGACAGAGCAGAGAAATGAACATAGAAAACTGTCAGTTTGGTATAAACATTAGTGATTTGGCATCAGCAATGCCAGAATTGAATACCAGACCTGACAATTCTCTGGAAGATACTTTCTACTTTAATTTTTAAAAAGATGTATTTGTTTCTTGAGATGCAGAGTTAAGAACAGAGAGAGGGAAGGACTGAGAAAGAGAGATCTTTCATTCATTGGGTGACTCCTCAAATGGCCGCAACAGCCAGAGCTTAGCCCACATGCTCCCACGTGGGTGCAGGGGCCCAAGCACTTGGGCCATCATCCACTGATTTCTTAGGCCATAAGCAGAGAGCTGGATCAGAAGAGGAGCAGCTGGGACACAAACCGGTGCCCATACGGAATGCTGGCATCACAGGCGGAGGCTTAACAACACCAGCCCATCTACTTTAATTTTTAAAATGTAGTTGCATTTCCTAATACAGGAGGTAGCATTTAAGGAAGTTTATCATCACAGAAAATAAAACTAATAATTCAGCTTTGAAAGCTAGATGCCTGACAAATCTAAATATTTCAATACAGATGTAAATAGTTATTAAAATGCATCATAACTTGTTTTTCTTTTAAGAATTTCTAAGATTCTTGAAGTAACCACTGCTTCTTGAGCTTAGGTAAGTTCCCTCAAGTTTGGAGATTAAGCAATAATTTAAATAGTGTCCTCAACTAAGAATACAGTATGAACAAATTTCAACATTTAAGCAATTTAGTTATATTTTATTTAAATCGTAGTTTCATTTTGTTATAAATTCTTTGATTAACAAATGAAAGTTTTCTTGTAACTTGCAGGTGTATTCTTTTTGTAAGTATTTTAAAGAAAATTTCTTTGTGGTAAGAATGCATTCAGCCAGAACGCTGAGAAGTAAGACTGAGTAAAACGCATCAGAAGTACAAGTGGTCACATTGTTTCACACTAACATGTCCTCTCATCTTCCACCCAACGTTTCTGTTTGTGGGAAATATATATATATATATTTATATTTATATAATACTTATATATATGTTTATATATATTTTTAAATATATATATTTAAATTTCAGTCAAGATTACATTTGTCTCCACAACAGATAGAGTCTGGTGGAGGATTAACTGGGAGCCACAGTGTAGATGCACCTTACATGGTTTTTCTCTTGTATTTGCATTGAACTTGTGGCATGAAAGTTTTCTCCCTTCTGAAATTTCATCTCCCTCAACCTATCCCATTTAGTTCTATCCACATCTTAGATCAAGGGCAGGCACTTGGCACAGTGGTTAAGACAGTACTTGGGATAGCCCACCCATATCCCATATCCCAGTGCCTGGTGAGTCCCAGTTCCTCTGCTGTGATCCAGCTTCCTCGAATACACATCCTGGAAAATAAGGGCTCAATTACTTGAATTTCTGCCACTCATGTGGGAGACCCAGATGGAGTTTTGGCTCTTGGCTGAATGCTGGCTCGCTACTTTCATCTTCACATAAACCTGGGAAGTTGTTAGCATTATCACCCAATATATTGATGGGACAAGCAAGTATGTAAATTACCTACACTCACAGTGGATGTGGTCAGTGGAAAAGCCAGGGTTACTGCCCAGATGTCGAGCCTTAGGTCCCTTCCTCAGAAAAATCTCCATGGCAGATAGAATATGACACCACTGACCAGTTAAAGATGAGTGTGAGAGGGCAATACTCACCATCTGAAGGGCGTTGTTTTCAGAACTTGACTATTTTTGTTCGGTTCTCTTGATATGTAAAGGCATCAGGCAACTTTCTCAAATAGCAAAAAGAATTTTCTGAATGATAATGTTCACGTTAATATAAAAAATTCATTTGATGTTTTGCAGTTGTTTATCATTAGTCCCACAATATGAGAGACTTGGTAGGATAGAAATGAGGTACTGACTCAACCCTCCACTTTACTTCTACAAAGAGAAACATACTTACAGAATGTTTACTAGTGCAAAGTTAGAATTGTGGGCATGATACAGAGGTAGAAGGAAAGTCACTTGATAGATCAGATTATGGTCTTAACTTTAGGGAAACCAGAAATACTCATAACCAGGCAATACCAGAAGAACAATCTAAGGGAAAAGTAACTGAAATGGATGGAATGATTATAAAGTAAAACTATAACTAGAAAGATTTCTTATAAATTAGTTATGAAGGATTTACTTTTAAAAAAAGAAAATTTCCCAGTAGTGATTTTGCTAGACATAATTATTTGACAAATCTATAACCCAATTAAGTCAAAGTAGTTATAATGAGGAATAATAGCATATTTTATGCCTATTAATATTTTATGCCTAATAAATGTTTCTTTAATACTTGCTGAAATATATAAACATTTCTCATTTAATGGAAACATTAGAGTGTAGAATTTGGCTTTTCTCTGCTAATTACTCAGTCATTTATTAAAAAACACTTATCAACTATAGTTGTCCTAGAAAATATTAATAAGAAATAAATATAAATAATAATCTTCTATTCAGAGCCTTGTATTTGAATGTTTGCATATATATTATATACCAATATGTCTATCTAATAAATTTACATATGTATTCTGGAATGTACATTGTTTAGATAATCTAATATTTTTTCTGTATTCACAGGTTTAACTGGAAAAATCATTCCTATATAGTTTTCTCATCTATCACATTACCTCCTACTATCAACATCTTTTGGCGTGTTTGTGAAAAGACACCAATGTTGAGGCAAAAAGGAAGAGTGTGTGGAATATTTTCTGTGGTGTTGCTACGTTTTTGGTTTATGTTGGATATGCCAGGTCTTGATTGTGGTATCATATTAACTGTATTGATGACTTGATGTCTTTTCTATTTCTGAGATATAGAACTATGTATCTCTTAACAAAACATTAAAATTTGAAGTGCATTTTTATTTGCGTGGTCTTTTCTTCCCCCATTCCTCATGCTAAAAGACCAGGCCACTGTTAATAGAGTGACCAGTTAGATGATAATTAATTTTAACTACACTTAGACAGCCCTGTAATAACTTAAATGTTTGGGTTCCTTAATGCTAAATGTTTCTCTCATTCCTGTTATCTTCAAATACTACACATTTATCTGTATGTTTATTTATTTATCTGTATGTTTGTTTATTTATTATGGGCTTCAACTACGACTGCATTTTCAACACCATTTAGCCCTCATGCTAACAACTCCACAATTTGTTCCACTCCCATTAGTCTTTCTCAAACAACGTCCACCAGAGTTAACAAGTCTCCAGTCACAGTTACTACCTGGCCATATTGTAGCTCACATGTCACTCCATAAGGAGTGAGTCCCTGTGAACTGAAACCTTTGAAGTTTCGGTGCCATAGGTTTACACTTCTTTCAACAGGCACTGAGTGTGATAAACCAGAACTTTTCTAAACATTGTTTTATAGGAGAAGAAAAATAAAGGCCTTGGGTTCATGATACTTACATTTTAACCTTTTGGAGGAAGATAACAAACAAGAAAAGATTCAATGCATATGTCACATTATGACAGCTTCACTAAAAAAGAAAAAGACATGGGGCAAGCAGTTAGCCAAGCAGTTAAGATACCAGTTTAAACACCTACAACTACATCAGAGTACCTGGGTTCAACAACCTTCTCTGGCTCCTGACTCCACTTTACAGCTAATGCAGTGCCTGGGAGGCAGTGGTGACGTTCCAGCAATTGGGATTCCTGCTGGCTTGAGATTATGGCTCCCAGTTTCAGCTCAGTTCAATCCTAGCCACAGTGGGCATTTGTTTTTTTTTGTTTTTCTTGACAGGCAGAGTGGACAGTGAGAGAGAGAGACAGAGAGAGAAAGGTCTTCCTTTGCCGCTGGTTCACCCTCCAATGGCCGCCGCTGCAGCCGGCACACCGCGCTGATCCTGGCAGGAGCCAGGAGCCAGGTGCTTTTCCTGGTCTCCCATGGGGTGCAGGGCCCAAGCACCTGGGCCATCCTCCACTGCACTCCCTGGCCATAGCAGAGAGCTGGCCTGGAAGAGGGGCAACCGGGACAGAATCCGGTGCCCCAACCGGGACTAGAACCCGGTGTGCCGGCGCCGCAAGGTGGAGGATTAGCCTATTGAGCCACGGCGCCGGCTCCACAGTGGGCATTTGAAGAGTGAACCAGTGGAGTCTCTGTCTGCACCTCTGAACTAAATAATAAAAAAATATTTGAAATAGAACTTCAAAGCCCCCTTTTTTAAACGGGTTTTATTTATTTATTTGAGAGGTAGCGTTACAGATAGTAAGAGGGAGAATCAGAGAGAGAGGTCTTCCTTCTGTTGGTTCACTCCCCAAATGGTCGCAACAGCCAGAGCTATGCCGATCCGAAGCCAGGAGCCAGGAGCTTCTTCCTGGTCTCCCATGTGGGTGCAGGGGCCCAATCACTTGGGCCATCTTCTACTGCTTTCCCAGACCACAGCAAGAGCTGGATTGGAAGAGGAGCGCCCAGGACTAGAACCAGCGCCCATATGGGATGCTGGCACAGCAGGTGGAGGATTAATCTAGTGTGCCACGGCGCCGGCCCCTCAAAGCCCTTTTTAAAAAGAAGAAGGCAGAGCAATGAAAAGATGTTTTGGAATGCACAGTCATGGAAGACAATACAGACAAGTTGAAGTTTGAGCAATGAATTGAAAATAGTGCGAAAGGGAGATGGAGGAATAATCACAATTCCAATAGAAGAAACAGTACAGCAATTTTTTTAACTTTTATTTAATGAATATAAATTTCCAAAGTACAGCTTATGGATTACAGTGGCTTTTCTCACCCATAACTTCCCTCCCACCCGCAACCCTCCCATCTCCCAATCCCTCTCCCCTTCCATTCACATCAAGATTCATTTTCAATTATCTTTATATACAGAAGATCAGTTTAGCATACATTAAGTAAAGATTTCAACAGTTTGCACCCACACAGAAGCACAAAGTGAAAAATACTGTTTGAGTACTAGTTATAGCATTAAATCACAATGTACAGCACATTAAGGACAGAGATCCTACATGAGGAGTAAGTGCACAGTGACTCCTGTTGTTGACTTAGCAAATCGACACTCTTGTTTATGGCGTCAGTAATCACCCTAGGCTCTTGTCATGAGTTAACAAGGCTATGGAGGCCTTTCGAGTTCGCCAACTCTGATCATATTTAGACAAGGTCATAGTCAAAGTGGAAGTTCTCTCCTCCCTTCAGAGAAAGGAGTACAAGCAAATTAATTGAGTCAGGTGTATGCTTAAAGTATGGAGAAACTGACAAAGAGCTGGGCATGTGTAAGAAGACTTTAGGATGGAAAGAACTGAGCACAAACACATCAGGCTGGAAGAAGGGAGATGAGAAGATTATCATGGTTTGAAATACGTGTTATCTAAATCTGGAAATCTCTAAAACCTACTTTTTCTCTCGTTTTAGCCAGGCCACTCAATTCTAAAAGATAAAATCTTCCAATCATGTCTCTGTCCCCTCTGTAAGTTTAAGTTTCCCAACATTCCCCGCATACTCAAAACTGCTTATAAAATATGTTCTTGTTGAAATTAGAGATAGCTATCTCCTTTTCTTTCTTTCAAAAACTATTGGTAGCTTCATTGGTCTCCTCAAGGCTTTGGTGATCTCTCCACTCATTACCCGAAAAGAATCTCTTTCTATGTTACAAAGAACATCAAAGCCATCTGGCATATCCTACACCAACCTCCCAGACTGACCCTTGTTTTACTTGATGCAATCTGAACATTGAGTCTTACCTTTGAGCCTCAAAGATATGCTGATCTAGCCCGTAGTCACTCTCTATCAAAGCAATTCCTTTTTTGTAAGAATGACTGTGGTAAAATAGTAATAGGAATTGTAACACCTAAAATTCACCAGTATATGCAGTGTTACATGACAAAAATCTATAGTAGTATCACCCGGAGTCTCACCCATTGCATTCTGACTTCTCTTTGTAGCTCTCAGAAGAAAGCTGACTACTTGAGAGCCTGTGTTACTGCCTCTCTAGCCATTGTTATCACGAGCCTGGCTGGTAGATCCAAAAGCACATGATGGTGCTTGAGGGAGCACCTCCTAAAGGACAGTAAAAGAAAATTGTAACATGGGGTCTAAACCCCAAATCCCTATTAATTTTTAAATGTATAAAACCTTGCCTTTTCTGCTATTCTGTGAATAAAAGCCTTGCTTTTGTCATATCCTGACCACCTGTCCACGGCAGCCTGGCATGTCACATGTAAGTGCTCAAACAGACATTTTTTGTTCTAATATGGAGCTTCCTCTTGGCTTTTGGTCTCATGGTTCCTACTCAATCCAGTGGACATTAATGCTTCGGTAACTATCAGAAAAGTGTGCCTAATGTGCATTGTCTCAAATAATTCTTGCAGTTATTAATAATCATCCCATCAAGGCATTTGTAGCTTGCTCCCAAGGCCTCTGCGACAATTGGTCCTGTAGATAAACTTTTCTTCTTATTAATTCTTATTATTCTTTTCCTTTGACTACTTTTGTGTGTGTTGTATTGGTTCCTTTTATTATAATATAAATTTTCTCTAGGGTTTTGACCTCAGCATCTTTCTTTGTTGGCTATATATATTTTCCTATCATTTTGTCTATTTAATTTTTAATTATACCTGTATTCTGATGATATCCAAATCTTTAGATATAATTCTGAATTTCTGCCACTCAATTTGGACTAAATACCTAACAATTTCCTGGACATCTCTATTTTTATATTTCCCAAACTAAATGCAATCAGCTTGATTACATTTTCATTTGAAAATTTGAAATTCTTACACACAGGACATATTTGTGCAAACTCACATTACAAATTTTCAAGTCTATTTTTTAACATATGCTTGTCCAGAAATGGAAATGGGCTTCAAATATTTGGATTTCCTCCTATGAGTCATCAAACTCTAACTTTTCTAGTTACTATAGGTTGGCAGTGAGATGTTTTCCACTAATTGAAATGGTTTTAGAAAGTCAAAACAGCACAAGTAATATAAAACTTTGGCAAGGATTGTATCCCTGTGACACCATCCCTTTAAAATGGCAGTAGCTCGCTATTGAATATTTGTCTTCCTAATGAAATTCTTTCTGCTTTTCTAAGATATAAAATTGGGTCATATACAGTAAGTATCTACTTTATCCTTATTTCAAAATAGCAGGACATTGTCTTACCTATCTGTTTTCTGGAACTATCTATTTGTGGCACATAAGATTATAAAATAAACAAAAATGCCATTTTTGTGTTCATTGTCTATTCTTGTTTCTATCAAGCATAATTGTCACATTTCCTATGGTATCAAATTAAAATGAGATAGTCAGTAATGTCTCTTTTTAATGTTACAAACTAAAATAGGAATCTGCTTGTATTTAAAATTTGATTTTAAGTATTTCATAGAACATTTTACTACTTCCAAATATCTTGAAAACCCTTTGGTTTTTTTTGTTTGTTTGTTTGTTTTTTAATTTTATTTAATGAATATAAACTTCATGCATTTAATATATACAAATTTGGGAACATAGTTTTTATATTACTTTCTATCAAAAGGGTCACATAAGTTATATCATTCCAGTAACTTGAATAGCTCTTTATAAATCTTTTTTTGAATAAATAAGTAAATAAAGAAGGGAGTTTGAAAAAGATGAAAGAAAAAAGGGAAAATTCAAAAGGAAACATAACAAAATATTTCCAAATTGGCTAATACAAGATGCATTTTTTTGAATATCCCAGTAGTTAGCAAGGGTATGATAGACATGTGGCCGGCGCCGCGGCTCACTAGGCTTATTCTTCGCTAGCGCGCGGCACACCGGGTTCTAGTCCGGTCGGGGCACCGATCTGTCCCGGTTGCCCTCTTCCAGGCCAGCCTCTGCTGTGCCAGGAGTGCAGTGGAGGATGGCCCAGGTGCTTGGGCCC